ATTGATTGCAATTGTTGTATTATACATATTATTAAATGTAACAACTTTGAAACATGTACCGTTAAATTACATCACCTATCAATTTTGTATATCCATTTCATCTGGTAATTAAAAAACAAACAAAACACCCCAAATCAAAATTTTCTCTAATAAATTCATGGAATTTTTCGTTAAATACGTATAGCAATTAATTATTATGCATAATTCGCATTCTCCGTAATACGACGAGTGATAGACAGCGAATGGAAATATTTTTTAACTACGTAAAATGTAATATACATATATTAGCATACATACATGTGTATATAAAGACACAAACAAATTTAATTATTGCAAATACTGTTATTTAATAATATTTATTAAAGCAATACATATATTATTAATAAATTTCTGTTGGTTAAAAGAGTGGGTTTCGTTTTCACTCGAATACAAAAAATGTTAATCAAACCGGAAATCAAAAGAACAGATAATCGTATACAAGATAGAATACAATGTAATCTCATTATGTAAATTTCTATTGTCTTAAAAAATAATAATAATAAACATCTGGAAATAAAACGAATGCTGATCAAAAGAATGTGCAGACATGGAACCGAACGAAAACGTAAAAGAAAGGTGAGAACTAGTTTAAAATATGTATAAACGTTTAGGTTGGCACATTTGTAGTCGATAATGATACTAAAAAGTGAACACTTTACCTGTGTTGAGAACACAGATCATTTTTAAGACAACATTTCTTCTATATAGAAAATACAGATCTTTATTACAATCTAATTCGTCTATATAGAAACCACATGTTATTATAAATAACAATTGGATCGATTAAGGTACGTTTAGATTTATGAAATCCACTCATATGTCAATTCTATTGCGTGAACGTCAAATATAATTCACTGGATTTGTGATCAAAATTAACGTGGCGTATTCGCTATAAAAGTGACGTTTAAAACTGTTTGGATTTAGTAGTCTTAAGGTAGCCTAATTCTGTACAGAGACCACATATCTTTATAAAATATCGACCAGTTTAATTTTACATTTAATTTTTAAAGGCGTCTTTAGATCATGTCTTTTTCATCGAATTGATTTTTTAATCGAGTTACCAAATCCTAGTATTAAAGTTATATAAAGTTGACAATCACCTGTTGTTCGTTTAGTTATATGCATGGTGCAATAATAAGGTGATGTATCAAAACAAAAACCTTTGTTTTTGTCTCGATTATCTGTCAAATTTTTCCATATAATAGTTCAAATGGTTGGCAACACTGCACATCGAATTCAAGTAGAAATTACCCACTTTGACAGTTAATCAAGACATCAGCTGCGCTAAATGGACTACATATTCATTGTGTCGTGGTTATATGCATGGTACAATAATACAAGGTAGGGCAGCTTGAGGCGAATAACAAAAAAGCAACTATGCACGTGTGGCTTCTGTCAAAAATAAAATAATATACGCAACAAGTGTTTGTGTTTATAAAAACGCGAAAAATGGATGAAAGGTTATGATTTCTTCCCAAAATCCAGTAGGGAATACCATCAAATGTTTGTTTCATCCATAACAATGTAATTACTTCCAGACGAACATGTTAAAAACATAATTTTCATTTCAATTAAACTTGAATATATTTCAATTTATTTGACATAGTATTCAAAACAATACACACATACACAAAATATGTATTTTGATTTGATGGAACAAGCCACCTTGAGAATCAGTTGGTAGCTGTACCCTACCCATGGTACAATTACAAAAGGTAACAGCAAATCCCAGCTGATTTGATTCCAACGTTATACTAGTGTCAATATGAATTTGACAAATTATGTTTTTAAAAATCACCCAACAGGAAAATTGGGAACGCATACAATTTAAAATTGTTCTTTATTAAATGTGCTCCTGTATTCAATTTACTCAATCTGCCAGCTGGGAAAGTTTGAGGAAGCAAATCTTTCTTCAAGGAATAACTCGCTATTCCAAGCATTTTCATATGTGTTACACATATATATGGCAATGGCTCAATTATAGGAAAGATGTGGAATAGATAGAAATATAAATTTTAGATTTTCATTCATATTTTTCAATTTTTATTTGCAGAGAGTAAAATATACATTTTTCAAAATAAAAATAATTTGATGAGATTTGTTTGTTTATTTACAGAAATGAGTTGACACTAGTAGAAGTACAACAACAAATTTCCCGTTTTTTGTACAACAACACTTGCTGTTACCTTCTATTATTATACCATGTACCCTACCTTGTAATAATTATACTATGGTTATATGTACATACACATTTCAATGGTTTCATAATTTCTGTGGCAATTTTCAGTCGATACTTTCATAGGTCAGAAAGTCCGTTCGTTCACTATCCCAGTAACATTTACTCAGTAATAATTTGCAGAGAGTAAAATATACATTTTTCGTTTGGAAGAGAGAAAATTGCAAAAAGTAAACGAACAACATCCAGTAAAAATGTTGTATCGACACAGCTGATTACAACAACACACAATTTGGCGCAAACAAAAAGCAGAAAAATGGATAACAAGCGGAAAATAAATACTTTAGTTTTCTTCGTCCATTTTAATGTTTAATAATACAAAATCCTAATAAAATTTACAAAACAATCAATTTGCATGACAACAATTTTGTTATTTGTTTACAAAACATAACAAAACAGCTGATTAAATAACAGCTGATGGCACAAGAAAATTCTTACTCAGTAAATTTTTCCTTGTAAGATAATTTATAACACAAATTACAGGACTTTTGGGTAAACGAACAACATTTTGTAATAATTTGTACAAATTATTGAGTAAACGAACGAACCTAGATATGTATAAGAACACATGTCACAATAAAAAGTAGAATTTTTTGGCGAAATTAATAAAAACTGTAGTCTAGTGTAATATCTTATAATAGGAGTGTTCGTTTACTTGATAGTTTATACATATTGTTACTGGATGTTTTTCGTTTACGTATAAGTCCAGTAGAAGAAAGTGAATTGTGTTACTGAGTATTTGTAAATGCATACAAGAAAAATTTACCCATTAAAGATTCTCCAATAACATCAGCTGATAGTCAATTAGCTCTTTTTTTATGATCTGTAAACAAATTGATGTCAAGCAATTTGTTTTTTTTTTTCATTTTTGTAACATTTATTTTTTCTCTTGGTATTCATTTGTTAAAAAAAGAGAATTTACTGAGAGTATAAACTAAAAAGAGAAAAAGTAATTTGTTTACAAAACAGCTGATAATTTGTTTACAAAACAGCTGATAAAATATCAGCTGATGTTACATAGTAAGAATTTGCAAATACTCGGTAACACAACTCTCTTTTATTGGAATTTTGCGTAAACGAACAACATGCAATAACAATTTGTACAAATATTGAGTAAACAGACATACCTATTATCGCAAGAAATTTGTAAACTGTTATAGTGCTTTTACATTGTGTCGGATTCCGTAAACCCAGTGGGTTTAAATTTAAATTTTTTAAACGGTAAAAAGTTCTAATCTAAATGCCATTTACGAATGTATTTTAAGATTTGCTTTAAATTTGCACATTTTTAACGATCTTGGTAAATTTAATCTAGATTGGAACTTTCTTTTATTTTTTATTCGGTTATTTGTAATTCTTATTTGTGTGCTCAGCATTCGTTTTGTTATTCCCAGATGTTTTTTTCGAGATAGAAATTAGCATAATTAGAATAAACGAAAAAAAAATATCATTGAAAATGTAGAATATTCTATAACGAATAAATATGTTTATCTTTTCCGGTTTGATTAACAAATTCTTAAAAAAAAACATAATCACCGAAACTGTGTGTAGGCATTTATATTCGAATGGTAACGAAATATTTTTTTTTTTATTTTATAATATTAATTTTAATAAATTTCCAACATACATTTTACTATTTAGAATGTTGTACTAATTTCTGTGTGGAAATTATGTATAATATTTAATTGTTATATAGAATAAACAAAACAAATTCCATGAATTTATTAAAAATATTGATTCTTTTTATTTGTTTGTTTTTATTATCAGATAAAATATATAGAAAAATTAATAGGCGTTGTTATTTAAAGTCAAAAGTTTACATTTTGTTTTGTGCTATCTTAAATTTGATTCAGTGTTTTACCAGTTGTGTGGTTTCAGGAACGGTTTTCGAGTAAAAAGTTGCAAAACTTGTAAAATTAGTAGATTATTTTAGGTTCGGGAACGGAACTCTTGTGTGTTGGTTTTTTGATAAATGTTAAATTAAATAATGTTAATGCTTATTATAAATACTTTTAAATGGCATTTTCATTAGGACTTTATGAGGATTTCTTTGACATATGTATATTTACAATTTAACGAATTTAATGACCGAATTAACGAAATCCGGTACAATGCAAATGTACTATAAATGTCAGCAATTTTTACTGAAAAAAGTTAAAAATGTTATCTTAGTCCTGATATACATTTCTATAGTTTGTATGTGAGAGAATGTAAACGTACTATTAATACTAAATTTATTCCAAAATTTCCTCAAGTAATCACAATCCAATTGCTTTGAAAATCAGACGATTAAAGTTAAAATTTGTAAACATTGCCAAACAATGGACTGTCCACTCGTTCTCATTTAAAATCTATTTCACAATTTATTCAATTTCTATATTTATTTTTCATTTCGTAAAAAAATATACATTTTGTCACTTTTTACAATTTTATTTTCTCATTTTATTTTCATTTAAGGTTGCGGAAACTTTTAAGTTGTAATTCTGCTCGATTTTACTATAAGTTTTCTTTTTTATTTGTTGCTCTATTTTCGTAAGAAAGAGTAAAATATTCTGAATAAATCTAACTGGAAAAGTAAAAAAGACACCTTAAAAATGCTTAAATAAGCAAAATAATTCCGCTATTGAAAAGGTTTTAATGACCAAAATGCTGCAACAATGTTTTGCATTTTCTGAGGTAATAAAGGTATTACTTAAATATAAATGCACTGCAGATTAAAACTTACCGATAACCTGACAATAGATTTAATAATGTTGTTTTTCCACATCCCGAAGGACCAATAATGGCTGTCAATTCATTGGAACGAAATATACCACTAACACCATTAACAATTTTTTTGGAATCTAGCGGATGAAATTTTTTTAATAAAATTTTAAATATTTTATTTTTTTAATAATAATTAATTATTAATAATTAATTATTTTAATAACATTTTTAAATATTAATTTTTCCAGAATAATAATTAATAAAATATTTTCAAAATCAATTTAGCACTTTTCAAAATGTTGATTTTATTTTCATTATTTTTTCTTTACTTTAATTTTTTATATATAACACCAAAAATACAAATCATCATCACAAAAACAAAAAATACAAATCATCACAAAAAATACAAATTACTTTCAGTTTCATATGTTAATTCGCTGAATTGTAAATTAATTGACGCATCATTTGTGGTACGCTGAAATATACTATAGTCCACCGAACCGGGACCTGTCAAGCAGGCAGTTATCGCTGAATTTCGACGCATTACAATTGGAAATCGTTTGTAGTAGTATTCCGCTCGATATGTTTTCACTTGGCGCTCTAATATTGTACTAATTCTTAAGTAGTGCCACTGACTACCACCACCAATCAACAAGCTGGAGTTCTAGTATTCGGCATTTACGGCTACAGTGCTTGCCAAACGATACCAATTCCGGCACAAAAAGTAAAATGAAAACTTGTTTTGGTTTTTTTGTTGTTGTTTTTCTTTCGTTTTGTTTTCGTTTTCAAAAAAACAATGAATAATCAAAATAAATCTTAAACTTTGTTCTGTATCGAAAATATTAGATAAAATGCTGAAATGCTGCTGAATTGGGTTCAAAGACCATTTAATTGCTATCGTAAGCATCATCGGCAGATTTTTTTTGCAGACAACTGCGTCTGAAGAGCGAAATTATTTTTGGAATGATTAATGTATTCAAATACACAATAATTTGGTATTCATGAGGATGTTGACGATATTAATTAGGGAAATAGTAATATTAACTAATAATTGAAATGTATTTTAAATATATTATTGGAATAGGAAGACCAGGGTAATTTAAAGGTCTAAAAATTATATTTTTATTAACATTTTCCATTTAAAAATTATATTTTTATTAACATTTTCCAGTACAATATCTTACAAAATTGCACGTTTAATTACCCCCTTTTAATTACCCATTTCATTTATTTGCCCCTAAAAACCTACTCTAAAGTAACCGTACCTTTAAATCTGTCCCATGTAATTACCCAATGTATTTTTTAAATCTGGCAACTTCACTTCAAATGGCTTAAATTTGCTAGTGGACTTGCCACACATGTGCACATAAAATATATCTCAAGCAAAAAAGAAAAAAACAAAATTAACCGGGGTCCACGGATAATTACCCTAGCGAGGTAATTTACAGTGCACGCTTAATTCCCTTCCACGGATAATTACTCAAAAATCTTGAAATTTTCACTGAGGTAATTTAGCGGGGTTTACTGTACTAATTTCCAATCCGCATTTAGCAAAATACATGGCATAATTACACAAGGTGTCTCATGCAGACATATGATTCCAATTTTTTCATAATTTTACTTTTGACAACATTCAGCTTTCAAAATTCAAATGAAAATATCCTCCTTCGAAATGTACGCACAACACGTGTTCAGTGGCAATATCTATAATCTATAAATATAATTTTTAACATCTATAGATATGTCTTAAGAGCAATATTAATAACAAAATTGAGATATTTATTACCAGAAAATATAAATGTTTAATTTTTTTAAAAATATGCCATTCAGCATGGATACAATTTTATGGAATTTTTTAACAAACAATTTGATATTGATAGTCCTGATTTATATTAGGCGAGATTACTTGCGGCAATTATTATCGTTCCCTTTTGAACTTGCTTCATGCGTCTATACAAGGCAATTTGGTTTCGAAAATATTTCTGTTTTCATTTGATGTCAATAGTTTTTCCACATTTAAATAAATATAAAATGTCAACAAATACGAAATACATAAAACGAATTGCCAGAAAATTGTCGGTACGAGCAATTTTTTTTCCATTTCTATTCCCCTTGCCACTCCCTCCTACAGTCAAAGACTTGCCGCAAATTAAAAAGAGTTGCCAATATTTCCCAAATGAGACTACCTTCTATAATTATGCCATGATATTTAACGCTGGTTTAAATATAAGTTCCGTTCCAGAACCTACAAGAAGAATCTACTAATTTGACAGGTTTTGCAACTTTTTACTCGGCAAGCGTTCCCGAACCCACAAAACTGGTAAAACATTGAATCAATTTTAAGAGAACACAAAAGAAAATGACGTCCTCTTTGTAAACTTTTTACTCGAAAAATTATGCCGAGTAAAAATGGTAAACAGCCAATTCCAACTTCTGATTGGCCGTTATGTTGATTTTGAAGTATTGCCATCTAATTTTGGCATATTTACTAGATTTGCGTTCCCGAACTTTTCAAATTATTTTGTACTCTGAGAGCGATTTTGAAATGTTTCCCTTTTACTAGCTGCTCCCGAACCTAATTTCTAACTACGATAACAATTTTTTCTATGGGATATTGAAAAAATATTAAAAATTTGTAGATTCTTGCAGTAAGGCAAGAGAACATTCTTTAACCCTTTGTGGCTCGAATTTTTTTTTCGTTAACATAGAACAATTTTCTGTTCAGAGATTTAAAGCAACTATCCTAAATAGGATATGATTCGAGAGATACAAAGTTTCTAAAAAGTACACTATCAAGAAAACCAAATGCAAAATCGACGGAAAAATTGATTTAAATTATTCCCTTTTTTATTTTTACAAGAATCATAAATAATTCTGATGACAATCTTCGTACAATTCGAATACGAAGCGATTTAAAAAATTTGGACTGTATACAAAAATTAGTACTGTACACATTTTTCCCCTTATATACATTGAAAAGCTCATAACTATACAACAAATTTAAATATTTGAGATTTTTCTTTTGATATGTGTCGTCCATAATCAGGCTTTGACGTATTAAATCCAAAGAATATATATCTACTGGCTACATATTAAATATAAGCTTTAAAACTTGTTGTTGCCTGTGGACAACATTGGGCCATAAAGGGTTAATCAAAAACAGCTGATTATCAGATGAAGTGTACAAACTCATCTCTGCAATAGGAGAATCCTATCCTTTCCTGCACAATACATTTTCAAAAATATTCCAAAACTTAAAAATAAAATATGCTTTTAAGATAAATATTTTTTATAAATTAGTACGGGATGTTTGAAATCGTGTGTATTTTGTAGTATATACCTGCTCTATATATATTCCAGTTGTATCAGCTGATATTTAATCAGCTGTTTTATCACCCAACAGGAAAATTGGGACCGCATACAATTCGAAATTGTTCTTTATTAAATGTCCTCCCGTATTCATTTTACTCAATCTGCCTGTTGGGAAATACACTTCTGGTCAATTCAGAGGAAGAATTGCATATTTCTTTCGTTTACATTTAGCAATATTTTTCCTTTGAGAGAGCAAATTAACTCAATTGCTCTTGTTGGTCCTCGAAGACGAGACTCGACTTGATTATTGAAATCCAGAAATACACACTAATTGTTTACAAATACCTTTACTCGTGATATAAATGTCAATCAGCTGATGTTTGTTAGTATACATTGCAACAATGGAGATGCTGTTACTTCTTAAATTATATGTCTGAATGTTTGCACCACGGTGTATGTGGTCTTTTTACTTTTTTGTAAAATAAATTGTGAGAATATATTAGGGTGCTTCACTTCAAATAATATTTTCATTAAACTTATTTTAAATTGGTCCCAAAATTAGGAGATTAGATTAATCATTTTATATATTTTCCGAACAAATCTATGACCAACCAACCCTACTATTCAATTTTAGGCATTCACAATTTATTTTCTATAACAATATTCAAGGTTTATTCATAAGGTTAATAGACAGACGAATTCATGCCTTAGTCTTCTCTTGCCGTCAACATTTTAATTGCGAAATACCAACCAGAACAGGATAAAAAATCAAAATATATTTAAGGAAAACGTAATGATAGAAATGTGAACATATATTTTAGTTCGAAAAAATAATTTTTGTTTATTTATTCTTCAAACAATAAATTTGACAGTCAATTAAGACTTCGAATTCGCCTCCCTGTTAACCGTATGAATAAACCTTGACTATAATGTTGTTTTTGTAATACATGCATACACCTTTTTAATTATTGTTTTTAGAAGGATTTTATTACCACCCAAAAGGTCACAATATTGAAGGAACATTTCAATTTGTATACTCTTTTTTTATTTTCAAATAATTATTTTATAAGCTATTTCAAAATTTAGTTTCGTTCTGTTGCCGAAAGTGCAATCTTCCATAAAGCGAAATCAGCTGATTACCAATTAGATCACGACCAAAAGTATGTGTAAACGGTTAGGGTGAACCTGAATTTAAATATTGAATTGTTGTACCGTCCACACTCTTGTAAACACCACTGTAATTTGTATGCATTTTTGTTCTGTTATAAATAAAGAACAAGTACAAAATAAAGTTTAACGTTTGGTCGCCCCGAATCGTTTAATACCCTTCAAGGTGTAGCAAAAATAATAAGCATGATGCAATAATAAGGTGATGTATAAAACGCATTTGTTTTTGTCTCGACCCTCTGTCAAATGTTTCCTTATAATATTTCACATGGTTGGTAACATTGCACATCGCATTCAAGTAGAAATTACCCACTTTGGCAGTTAATTGAGACATCATTTGCGCTAAATGGACTACCTATTTATTGTACCATGATAATAAGTATGCAACAAGATTTATTAATAAGGTCACCCAGCAAGCGAAAGTCAGCAGTTTGTTCTCAAGACGAATTTCAAAAACTTGGCCTTGGTTTAGGTTTTCAGAATGGAAGTCAATTTACAAAAATGGATTTTGACAGCAAACTTGAAAAGCAGCAGCACACTGGATAACTTTTTTAAAGGCCTTGGTATGCAATTTCAAGATAAAACGACATGTACATTAGAACTTTTTGCATGGTTAAACTACGTTATTATTTATTTGACAAATATGTAATGGAATTATTATTGTGAATTGTTTCTCAACGTCCAAATTTGTTGACATTTAACATGCGAACTAACATATGTTTCTGGCTTTCTGTGTGATCTTAATAATAGCCATTTGTTTTTCTCTCGACCATCGGTCAAATCATGGCACATTGAATATGTAGTCCATTTAGCGCAACTGATGTCTCGATTAACTGTCAAAGTGGATAATTTTACATGAATTCGATGTGCAGTGTTGCCAACCATTTGAAATATAATGAAAAATTTGACAGATAATCGAGACAAAAACAGATGTTTTTGTTTTGATACATCACCTTATTATTGCATCATGGGTCAAATGTTTCCTTATAATATTTCACATGGTTGGCAACATTGCACATCGAATTCAAGTAGAAATTACGCATTTTGACAGTTAATCAAGACATC